ACACCATTAATGATGGTTTACTTGCTTCCAATTTATGTAAATATAAACAGTGGTCTTACTGACTTCTGAAAAGATTGTTTTTCCTCAGTAATGTAATTGGTAAGTTTTTGCATTTTTTCAGCTGTTCCCCTGTACATCAGTGGTTACCTCCTTGACTGCAAGCTGTGAGTAGCCACTCATTTGGAATATTTACATTACTGATGTTTACGTTACTGACGTTTATTAAGTATGTACCTGTCATGTCACTTGTTCATCTCCTTTGTAACCTAAATACTCCTGATAATATTTCTTTTACTCTAGTTGTCTTTTCAGTCTGTAATCATGCTGATTACCCTTCTTGAGACAACTCACATTTATGTTCATGTGTTTGCAATGGACTAAGTGAAAATGAACCCGGTATGGGGAGGTGCTGTTTAGCTATTCTGTGACATATATCATCATTCTGACTTTTGTCTACTAGAGGCTGATTTCCTGATGACTCTGTTGACCCCACTACTGTAGACATATTCCTGTGAAATGTCCACCCTGACAGTTTATGGCTTCATAAATGATAGACAGAATGTAATGGGGTTTTTTCTGAATCGGGCCTTTAATTTGCATAAGATGGCATAGGGCTAGCAAAGCTGGGATTATGCCATGAATATTAGAGTGGCTGATGAACTCAGCTGCCCAGCAAAACAGATAGAATAAGCTACCTTTGACATTAGAGAGGAACACTTATTCCCAAGTGCCAGTCTTAGGTTGACCGTGCTTCATGAGAGAATCGCTTGAAACCGATCCTCTTTAATAACAGTCTGTGGCCAGGAGCCATAGTATAGCAGCTTTATTTGACTTTTTTAGAATGTGATAAACCAGGTTATTTTCATTCATATGTGTACAAGGGAGGAGGGGGATGTGTCTGTGTGCCCTTCATACTAAATCCTATTATAAGCCCTTCATGAAGCATTAATATGTAAAAGCCGACCTCCCGCCATCTAATCTGGTATAATAAGGGCTTGGATACATTATTAATTTTTGTCACACATCTGAGGCCCCCTTTTATCAACCAAAACCCCCATCCAAATCCCTTGTTGCATCATTAAATTGTGAAAACAGCTTCATCATTCATGACAGAAAAATGGAAGGACCCTGAGCCATATGGCAGAGGGAGCAGCAGTACCAGCCACCCGTAGATGTTTCCCCAGTCCCCTTCTTGCAGTGACTGGTGCCTAAAAGACCTTGCAATGCAGTAGGGAGACAAAATCGTCTTGGTTTTTTTGTGCAATATTGGCTTCTTTGCCTGGAAGCAGACGAACCCAACACCAGTGCCTGAGATCAGAGCCCAGTTTAATCTGCAGGATTTTGAACTGAATTTGAAAGGTGGCGTTGGCAAGTACAACTTTGGGGGTTCTCTCTTACAGTGCAAGGTCAGTTCATGTCTTCAGAAGTTGGGAAGTTGGCTCTTGTCTAACCATCCACAAATCCCCTGGTCATGCTGTGAATTATACATTGTTTGCAAATCAGAAAAACACACAATGTGTCCACCTGCTAATGGAGAGTGAGTAATTTCTCTCTTTAAACCAGGAAAATGTAAAAATTTAAAGTTCTAGGAAATCTTTTGACTTGCATTTCTAAACCAATACTTTACCTTACGTTTTCTATGCTTGTTGTCATTAAGGCTGAGTTAGAGAGAAATATTCTGATTTCACTGACACACTCATGACACAGTTTCAATGAAAATCTTTGGGACTCTGAGATGAGGTGCACTGACATACAGTTGTCTGAAATATCATTCAGTTTATTCATGCAAATAATCCTATCGGATTATCTGGGAAGAAGGATTTAGCCCTTAATAACAAGATGAATGGCATTTTAAAAAAACAGACAAATTTGAAGTGAAAGGTTGATTTATATATTTTCATTCAGGTTAGAATGGCGACAATGATGAAGACTTCAACATAGATGAGAGATAATTGCATTGTAGAGAAATTTAGTATAGTTATGTAGTGACTGTTCTTTATATGAATAGTGCCAGGACTTGCTGTTTAACAGGTAATGAGAAATAGATGTCATTATCATAGAATTATAAGGTGACGTTAATTTTTAAAAAATTGTCATCCTATTCTGCCAGTTGTATTTCTTTGTGTAAGAGAGTTCTAATGTTTGAGTATACACAAATGAGCTAAAATGGTCACTCAGCTTTGGTTTACCAAAAAAAGTCTGTGATTATTGCAGATCTATTTTTGAAACAGTACTTGGCATGTACAGTCAAACCCTGCATTTCTATTTTAAATATACAACTGCAAACTTGGGAATTAATTCCCTATCCTGTGTAATCTAACAATGACCCAATAATTTCAGAGAATCTTTCCTGATTTACAGTAAGTGCTTAAACCGTTCACTTAGGAAATCAGTGAGGAAATACTGCCACAGCATTCTGGTAATGCTTTTGATAGGGCAAGAGGATTATTACAGATTTCCAGCATGTTTTTTAAAGAATTTTTAAAGAGTGTATCAGACATTAAAATATAACAATATTTAAATTATCCTGAGATGAGGTGGTAAAAAGCAGTACAGTTTCACACCTTTCCATATATGTGTAACAGCACAGGAGGTAGTTTGTTCACAGACAGCTGCAGCTTTGCAAGAGCATGAATGTGGAATAGGAAATATTAATTTAAGTAAAATTACTGGATTTTTAGATTAAAGGCAAAACAAGTGCTTAGTTTTAAGGCCATCTAGCCTGACATTTGCTATGGCATTAATCCTTATGTTTCACTCGATTATCCCTTATATTTTGCTTAATTATCCCTGTACTGAAAACATTTGTTTATAATAGCTATAATATAACTTACAATATAGAATTTAACACCCAAGGAAGAAGAATCTAGCATACAATTTCTCTGGTTGGACCAGTGGTGGCTAGTAATTATTGTTAATATTTATGCTTTTTTCATTTATATGGCCGGCATTTATTGATTCTTGTTATATCTTTTCATGGGACTAAAGCACACATTTATACCCAGCAATTTTTTCCAGTGGAGTTATGTGCGTACTTTGTAATCAGATTACCTCCTAGTGTTCTTTGTTATATACTGATATACTGAATACATAGTTCTTGCTATTTCTTTCACTGTATGACATTATATACTATCACCTTTTAGGTAATTAAAGATCTCTAAATAAATCTCTAATTTTTTGACACTCGTATTATATGCAAGCACCCAAATTACCTGCAACAATCCAAGGTCAGTGTCGTTGACCTAAATACACTCACTGCACTAAATACAGAAAAATAAATACCCCAGGATTACATTGACTTCCTTATTAGAGCATCATGTTGGAAGCTCATGATGCGTTTCTAGTCCAGCATGGCTTAAGATCCCACTCATCGTGACTGCTTTCCAGGCTGGTTCCCTACTCCCAGATGTTAATTTTCACTTGAACAGATATTAATTCTATATTGAGCAGAACCCAGTTTACCAAATGGTATTTAATATAGCATCTGATTGGCTGGTCTTTTTGTACCCACAAGTTTGTCAGCATTTATACATATTCCCAAAATGGCTGATGAAATGTGAAGACCACAGTAGATCTTGTTTAAGGACTATTCAGCAGTATCATAATGGTATCTAAATCTTTGAAAGGTTCGTAAACATTAGCCAGTCAATCATCAGTCTCCCAGTGTGATAAATATCACTAGTCCGGTTACAGGTACTCACTTGGTGGTGCAAAACACAAAAGAAGGGTTTCATCACACCATGTGATGACCCGGGCAAATACCCCAAGTAACCTGGGGTCCCTAGACAGGCAGAGATACGCATATTCTAGGAAAGACACAATACACCTGAGGTCTGAGGTGCTTGTTAACTCACTCGCTTAGTTAAACAACACAAGTCTTCCTGGAGGAGCTCAAAGTCAAGAAAAACTGCACCAGTTTCCAATTTGCTGTTTTCAAAGCATCAGAACAGCAAAGTTTCTTTCTAACACAGTTGTTGAGCTACTACAAAAGAATGTAATTTATTAAATGACATTTCTGAATTTCATATCAGAATATTGCATTCATTGCATTGTTTCAAAACATTTAAGCATCTTGGCCATTGATGTTTAAATGTATTCCTTTTAAATGTATTCCATTTAAATCAATTTTGAATGATAAAGCTGAAGAACCACCAAACCACAAATATATTTTTCTTTCTTTTAATACGATTTCAGTCACTGAGAATGATGATGGTTTTTTAAAATTTGTAAAGATGAGATGAATTCTGATTAGCCCTAGCCAAATTTCTTTTCATGGACTAAGTAGAAATTAAGACTAGGTGGGGTTGGCGGACTGTCAGCATTTCATACCCTTTCTGTTCACATCGCATCGTAATCGTATAATGACAACCCCTCTGGTGGGAGCCTCTGTAATGCTGACATTAAAACCTGTAGTTTAAAAGCATTCAAATGAGATTTTACCTGCTTTTAAATGACATTAACTGCCATTATGAGTAATAGCTCAGCCGATTAAGTAGTGTGGATACGTGGTATTAGAGCATCACACTTGAATTGTCATGTTTTATGGTATTTTTCAGGGAAAATACTTTTAAACAATGCAAAAGCAACTCATTTCCTTCCTCCTGAAAAAACCCTGCTCACATGAGTCAAAATCCACGGTGATTTAGTGAAAAACATAGCATTGAGTCCCAAACAATCCCCCCCTCCAAAAAAAAAGTTTCACTTTTTATTCACTTTTGTGGGAGGAAGTTTTGCTGTTACTAATCATGAAGGGTTGTAAGCAATAAACATTTATATTATTTTAGATTTGTCTCTGGAATCTGCTTGTCTATTCTTGCCCCTGCAGTCTCAAAAGCTCTGAATCACAGCCAATTTTCTCTTGACAAAGATAGTTACGTAAACATCTCAGCAGGGACCATGAATTCTACTCCCAGTGTACTGCAGTCTGGGGAGAAAGGCGCTTTTTTTAGTGCAAAGCTGTACGTATGTTCAAATAGAAGTAACCTAGATGAGTTGCAAACCTGGATGTCCATGTGACAAGATGCCTTCTCTGAACTACTAGAGCCTGCTCAATACTCTCTGCTGTCATCGCGTCACGCTTAATCAATGGCAAGGTTAATTGTTCATTGTTCATTGAGAACTTAACCCTAAGAAAAGGTATAGCTCTAATAAACCCTACCCATGGCACTCCACTCCACGTTGTGCTTCCTTTGTACCTCCAGTCTCCTGCGGTTGGCTGCATAGTGGTTTCATACCAGCATCCCCCAGAAGCTGATCCTCCTCTGGGGGAAGAGGTCTCTAGCCTTGCAGCAAAAGGGAATCCCCTTCTGTTTTCAAGCGCTACTCAAGGGATGCAAGTTTAAAGCTTCACTGATTGCAAATGAGGGGGCACCGCAGGCCCAACCCGTGTCTTTTGAAAAATTACGTTGTCTTGCAATGTACTGAAGGTTCCCTATTCCTACAAAAGTCAACAGATAGTGTTCAGGAGCACTGACCTTTGTAACGTATGAGCCCAACTTCTATTGACCACCTGACAGTAAGTGCTCAGGAGAGGTGTTGGTTCTGAATGTTCTCTGGGATTTTCAAACACCGTTTTGTTTGACCTTGTTGGTACTACAGCAGTGTAAATACACCTCTTTTAAATAAAGCATTTCTCTTAGTGTTGGACTGAAAATACTCTATAACAGAAAACTCTCAGCAATGCAATATGAGATAAAGTGAGACCCAAGCTATCAAGTGCATATTCCTGAGAAACTCCATTTACGACTCGTAAATCTTTAAATCACTAAAACTGATCTGTCAGAAGTAATGGGGAGCTATGCATGACAAGAGCAGTGGGTCAAGGCAAAACAGAATAACTATGCAGCAGCAGCCTTGAGTTCTACAATTAGCAAAGGATCTCAGTAAAATGCTACCCATTGACAGACTCAGTTGAAGAAAATATATTAGAGAGTTCAGAGCTCAGGGTTGCTAATTCTTGATTGGCAGTAAGCATTTTAAAACAGGGTCAGAATCAAAATAAAGGGCTTCAGCCCAGCTTGAAATTAGTGCATTGTGTGTAGAAAGATTTTCTTGATACCACAGGAGGGTAATTTCTTCCATGTGTTATACCTTAGAGAAACTTTCAAATTATGTCAACCCAATCTCTATAATTGGTTGCTAGACTGAACCTTAATGTCAAGCAAACTCAGTGCCGTACACTCAGCAACTGCCTGTCAATAACAAATTAAGCTTGCAAAGCACACCTTAACCTTCTTCCCAGTTTCCTTCCTCTTAGCATCTTGGAGTCAGTTTTTCATTCATGCTATCTTTTCCATGTAATCATTATCTCCTTCCCTTCCAGGGAAAGGATCTCTTGAAAATCTCCCTTTTACTTGAGCTCAAGACTGAATTTCTCACAGATCACCTTGAATCTGCTAATGCTATTCTAGAGTCTATTATTTTTTATGTAGAGCACAACTGAACTTCACTTTTCTGTATAAATTCAGACTTGTTCTGAGTGCAAAGGAAACCATTGATGCCACAAAGATATTCAGTGAGGTTTAAAAAAAATAAAATAAAAAAAAATGTTACTTGGCTGTCATCCACCACAGTGTGAAGGGACCAGTTGTGGCTGTAGCACAAGACCTGTAAATCAGCAGAGACTTTTATAGTAGCTCATACTCTATTGGTGCTGTAGGCCTCTAGGCCCACATACTCACTTGTCTGACTTTTTCTCATGCAGTCTCTTGGAAAGGGTATGGACATCAAGGCTTGCACCTTATTTTGGGTGCTGCTTTACCCTATAGTCATCCTGTTGATTTCAAGTTGAACACGTAGATGTCAACATCTCTTTTTGGCATTCAGGAACTAACCTGTATTTTCACCTCCTCAATACCCTGTTATTCCAACCACTACATCTAACCACTCAGCAGTCTATTCTCTGCCATTTTTATCTACAAACTAATTATAAATCACAACCACTATCCCTATTTTACTATTTGCAATTACAGGCATGTATGTCGTAGCTTGTTCCTTAATTAAATTTGTGATTTACATAGTCATTTGCCTTGTGTTGGAGTTGTCTCAGAGGCTTCCATAATAGTAATAACTAACCACTAATCTATGAAAATCGCTGAGTTAAAATACACCCAGGTTAATAACTGGAACTAGCCCTCATTTACTGTTGTAAATGTAGATGTTTGTGAAGAGGAGGAAAATTTGATTCACATATGCCAGGTTGTGTGTTTCTACTGCTGAGTTTTCCTGGGAATGTCCCTGCCATTGTCTTACAAACCTTTGTAGTTGCACCACTTTAAACCTGGATTGCTTCAAGTGACTTTACTGATGTTGCTCGGGTGAATGAAGACAGATTTTTTGATTCCCTGAGTCAAATTCTGCAGTCTTTACTCAAGCAAAACTCCAATTAATCCTGAGGAGTTACAGACTGTGTAAAGATGCAAAAATGCTCGAAGGAGGAAGAAAAGGAAAAGAACCCTTTTGACTGGCTGTTAATGGTTATTTGAAATAGCCTTTTACATTTTGGAACCATTATCAGAAAGATGGCACTTGTAAACAGAGAGGCGATGGATACCCCAGTTTAATAAATGTTGTATTTCGTTGTACTTGCTTTAAAAGGAGGGATGTTAGGGTTATCTCAGTTACAGAGCATCTCTCCATTAGTAAATACTCATTATTTTTACTGTAGCTCTCTGACTAAAAGGCATTTACCTCGGAGAGAGCATTTTTGCCGTGGCTCCCCTCTCTCGTCCCCCCCTTTCTCAAACAAACACGGGGTAAGCTTGCTCACCAGGCAAAGCCTCTCTGCCTGTCCAGGCCCACCTTTGATGTTGCCCACTCCTGAGAAGACTTAAAGGTATATATTGCTGATTTTAGTATCCATCTATGATTTGCACTCAGTTCGTTATCGTTTTGAAGAGTGGCACTAGGACCTTCGCTACTTCTGCAAACGATGAGCCTATGGCATTAAGCATGGACGTGAAAGCCTCATGTGTCTTGAATACTCAGTGGATCTAATTAACAGGTAGAATCGCACCCTGGGTGCTTGAAAAATTGCCAGACACCATAGAAACGAGTCCTTAAGTCCCCGCACCATCTGCACTTTCTTTTCATTGTGGAAGTCTCATTGAAACGTGTTTTTCGACCATTCTAAATTCATTTGCGCGTTAATGGAAAATTCCTGACTTTTCATTAAAACAAAAATCATAAATTTCTTTCGTTCAATCATGGGGGGAAAAAAAATAATCTCTCAAGCTTTGATGAAATAACGACTCTTTGCATTTGCCTCTGAATACGGGGTGTTTGAATACCATTGCCACAACCTCCTTAAATGACCTTTTAAAGGAGAAGAGCGCAGCACGAGGCATCCCCCGCAGAAGCAGGCGGCGGCTCGAAGCCGGGTGGCCGCTGCATCACCACACCCGCGTCCCCAGGCGCCGTGCAAGCGCTCCTGCCTTCCGTACCGCCTCTG